CGAATTTTTGGACAAAAATTTCATTCATTCGATAATTTCGAAATTTCCAAGAATTTGCCTTCAGTTCCAAGAATTTTAGAGTTTCCGAGAATTCGATGTCATTTCCAGGAATTTTAGAGATTCCGAGAATTTGATGTCATTTCTTGGAAAAATTTTTCGATCGACCTCTTCTCGTATGATGTTCTCCTAATACAAAATCGAATTTTTGGACAAAAATTTTATTTGTTGAGGGATTTTCGATATTTTTCTTTTCTTTTAAATGTCCCGTTTTTCTTAACATTAAAAAATGCAATAAAAATCTAATAAATGTTGATAGATTTATTATATTATTATAAATGATTGTTATAAATTATTTTGATAGGGTTATTTTGGTGCCCTCAATTTTTTTGTTTGGTGAACTTATAAAAATTTTGTTGATCTAAATCTTATTTTTTAAAAGAAGATCTTGTATTTTTAATGCATTTTTTTTTTTTTTTTTTTTTTTTTTTTACGTGGAGGAAATCCTCATAGGACATCCTGGCCTCCCTGGGGGGGAAGGCCGGGATAGTGCCGGACTCTTACCGGCTAAAACCTCCACGGTGGCCTATTCTGGCAGCTCCAGGAAACACCGGATATTCTTATGGAATACTTCCGGTGCTTCCTGTGCATTGCCTCTTAGTGATACTTCTCAGAGATGCATTAAAATGCATCTCAAATTATAGTATTAGCGATGCCAGGGCCACACTGGCATCGCTTCCTTGTACCGCCATTGCATCGGCACGGGCCCCCACCCGTGCCGATAATGGTTCCTCTGTCTCTTTTGACAAAACTACAAGCACCATGAAACTCTCGACCATCAAAGATTATAATTATTATAATTGAATCCAACTATTGGAAAACCTCGGTTCGTAAAGTTCGTATCATTCTGCTCTACGGACACTGGATGAACTTTTTTATGCATCGGTCAATATAATGATATTTTTTGTAAAAAAAATATTTATTCATTGTCGAAGTAATTATTAAGTCCATAGATAATTAACTATAGTTTATTATTTCTTAAATAATAAATTTGGCTATACATTTATTATAATAATATATAATTTATTAATTTTAATTTTTATAATTTTCATAATTTATTAGTTTTTATCCATCATGAATTATATTATCGAATTTTATTAATAAAATATCAAAACTCTTGATAATGTTAAAATAAAAATATGTTTAATTATCATTATCAGAATATCTATTTTTGGTTAAGTGTCAAACTTTGTATAGACAAGGAGTTGAAATAGTGCGAGAAAGATAGAGATTGAGTAGTAATTGTGATTCTGTGCCATCTTTAGAATGCCGCAAATAAAATACAACTTGTAAGGACATAAAATAGGTGTAAAAAGACATATGGTAAGAATTAACTATCGTTGCCATTTCCCTAATATTAAAGAAAACTAGTTATTCAATGGTAAAAAAGAGCGAGAACTGACTATTTTCGCCATCTCTTAACTTTTAAAAACATTTCTTCATTGACAAACTTCCAGAAGTACTGAAGAGATGACGCTAATAGTCAATTTTTTTTCTTTTTTACCATAGAACTTTTTTACCAGTTTCCTTTGATAGTTGATAGATGGTATTGATAGTTAATTCTTTTTCTATATCTATCTCTTTTCTTTTTTTTCTGTCCTTATTTACTGTGTTTCATTTGCGGCACTCTGAAGATGGCGCTGATTCCATAATTTTTATTCTATCTCTGTCCTTATCTTACTATTTCCTTTCCTTGTCTATCTATAATAGCAATTGACCACAGAAATTAAATTATAGAAACATCGATATACTTTTATAATTTTTTTTTTTAAACTATAATGTTCTAATTTCATACATATAAATATATTTGGAATATTTAACTTATATATTTGACTTATATAATTTAATAATTTTTTAAATTTATTAACTTCATTTTCAAATTTTATTTTATATGAAAGAAACATTACATGAAATATTTATTTAATATTTTGACTTTATTAATATTTATAAAAATATAAATTTTATTCTATAAAAGAAAAATCTAAGAAAATTTTTAATTAATATTAATCAATTTAATTCTGCATATAGTTAGGAATTTAAAAATTACATTTTTTGTTATTTTCATAATTTCTATTATTCAAATCATATTAAAATAATTGAAATTATCACAATATTATCACAGACGATAGTAAATTTGTATATCTTTAGGTGTCAACAACAAAGCAAATGGCGAGTATTGTCAAAGGAATATTTATCAAATAAACGAAATCTAATTTCAAAAATTTTTTTTATTAATTTTTCATTATGCCGATATTTATTATATAATAATCATTCATATTTCGTATTTTTCTTATAAACAGTTTCGTGTGAATTTCTCGTAAAAATCGATAAATTTCAAGGGTCAAACGTCGAACTTGCGCGCAGGTTTCTCTTGAAGTGTTATTTCTCTCGTAAAGGATCTACGCGTCAAAATGTCCACGTCGGTGACAGACAAGCTTCTAGATGATATGAACAGCATACCGTTGGCAGACGATGATCCACAAGGTAGGAAAGCTTGTGTACCATGTCTCTGACCTACTTTTCATAATTTCAGTATCGCATACTTCCATTATAACCTATTCTTAGATATTTTTTACTTTTCTAAGAAATATTTAATACTTGCTTTAGATCGAATTTCGTTATATGAATTATTAAATCATGATTTTAGTAAAAAATTAATTTAAAAAAAAATGAATATATTTGTGATATATTACATGCTTTGTTTATGTTTTTTATTACATTGATATATTTTGAGATTAATGTAATTAACTCTATCAATAAATCGCAACAAATATTTTTTTAATACTTTTTAATTTTTGGATATAAAAAATAAAGAATTATTTGAAAAATATTTTTATTTCTTATAAATAATTTCATATATTATAAATGATTGTTGAAGATTTTTGTTTGGAATTTTGTTTGAAATATATGATTCTTATGAATATTAATAAATTATTATATATAGTGATAATACCTGAAGAAGAAATTCTGGATAATAGTTGTCATATATCAGATGCACTTGGTAGTGGACATAGCATGGATTCTATACCATCTACATTCACAAATGGAAGTTGTAGTCCTAATAGTAAGTTAAAATTTTTAATTTTATAATTTCATGAAAGAATTAAAATATTTTATATCTTTAATATTTTATAATCATAGGTTTAGATCCTGATATAAGCCCAGATGAACAAGAAGAGAAAGCGAGATTAATTGCTCAAGTGCTTGAACTTCAAAATACATTAGATGGTGAATATATTTCTAAATTATATTAATACAATTATTATATTTTATTTATAAAATATTTTATTTAAAATACTTTTTTATTTTTTAGATTTATCTCAAAGAGTAGATAGTGTAAAGGAAGAAAACTTGAAGTTGAGAAGCGAAAATCAAGTGCTAAGCCAATACATTGAAAATTTAATGTCTGCATCAAGTGTTTTTCAATCTACAAGTCCCAACACTAAAAAAAAGTGAATTCACGTTGTTATATTAGATGATAGATGTTGATGAAACAGAAATCTTAAAATAATGTGATCTTTAATCTTTGAATGAATAGTACGTACATATTTTCGATTTTAATTGCTTTATTTAATGAGAAAAGAATAAAATTATTATAAATATAAGAAATCTCAAAATCTCGTTTAATATATCGCGCTTATTTTGTATTTATATATTTCATTAATCTGTGTACGTACTTTTCATGCTTAAATTTAAAAGGAAAAATTTACACATATTTCTTTTGAAACACATATTCGAATTCATTCAACTTTACAATTCAAATGTGTGTATCAGAAAAAATCATTCTTTAATTTTTATTTCTTAGTCACTGCAAATGCTTTTTACTTATAAAACGCTTATAATTGTTATTTATTTGCCAAAGAATTCCATTTTGTATTTATGCAATTAATATCGCGTATAAAGAAAGAATTTCAGTTATGATTTAATATAAAGTTCTATAAAGAATAAAATGTACGACTTACATGATATTAAAATATAAAATAATACTTGTTAAGATTCATAATTATCGATTTCTTGGTATTTACGGGTGTATGATTCGTTTCCAATATTAAATCATTTGTTGAAGTTAATTATCGCTTTTTGGCGTATTTATAAATAAGAAACAAGGGTAATAAATGTTTGTAATTACGGTATTTAATCAAACATCAACATTTTTTAATTGAAGCTTTCGCTTAAGAGTTTCGATATACGTGTATGCAATGTATGTAGATGTACAAAAGAGATAAGAAATAGTTATATATATATATATATACAATTACATATGAATATAAATATATTACATATAATTATATAATATATTACGACATATATTAGCATTCTATATAAGTTACGATATAAATGCTGCGAGCACAGTGTAAACTCAATTAATTCGTTTAATTGACTGATTAAAAACTCCACTTGACACTTTGCCTGCAGCATGATCGATCAACGATTATAATTGATAGAAAAAAAAAAAAAAAAAATGTATTGCAATTTTAAAACTGCAACTTGAAGTTTCAGTTGAAGGGCACAAGCAGAATGCACAATCCATTGTTGAGTAACACAGTGTTATAATAAACATTATATTCTATTGGAAAACAATTATTTATTTCTCATAGAAAGTAACGAATTTGTATATTTTTCCTGTTGAGAACATTTGATTTTCGTTGTTAGTAAAAAATTATATTTATTACAAAGTTTTATATTAATTCGTATTATGCATTTGATTTGTCATTTGACTTAATTTATTTCATTTAAATTTAAATTTTTATTTTTTTTATTTTCTTTCGTCAATAATTCAAATAACCATCTCTATATAATTTATTGTAAATATATATAAAATGTTCATAGAAATTATTCTTGTCGTATAGCTAAAAATTGTATCGATTTTTGGCCCCAACTAGTTCTTGGTCCTGGTTTCGCACGACCATTCTTCTTTATTCCTATCCACCATCCATAATTCGCATACTTTCGCGATCGAAAAGCATCGTAAGAACCAACGTTCCATTGTTCCCATTCAGTATTATCTTTATTTCCATTTAACTAGAAAGAAAAAAATTAACATATATGAATATTCATTATTAAATTAACACAAAAGAAAATTTTTTTATTCACATTTTACTCAAATACAAATGATTATTGAAGAAATCAAAAGATATGAACATATAAATTTCATTATTAAAATACATATTTGTATAGAAATCTTACATTATTTGCCTTACCTCTCCATACAAACGACCTTTCTTGTTGAAAGCCAGATAAAGACTAGTCTCGATATTTTGTATTCGTACCACTCCAAACGACACCGGTATAATATGAAGCAAAGCTGCAAATTAAATACGATTCTTTTTAAAAAAATTAAAATTTAAATACTTCAATATTTTTAATATTTCCCATTTAATATTACCATGTGGTTCATTCGTAGCACTCAAGCCTCGAACACGACCGGACTCCGACACACCGAGATGATATCCGGTTCGACAGAACAATTTGATTACCAAACAATTGTACACAGGATTTTGTGCCGGTTTCCTAGGATCCCATATTACGCAAGGCGAGCGTTTAACCGATTCCGACGTGATGTAATGCGAAGTTCTGTAAGAGAGAATTCAATATTTAGAGTCTTCAAACACGCACCTGGCGTCTATAAACGTAAATACCAAGTCCATAAATATACACTTAATTTTAACAATTCTCTTAAAGAGAGAAACTTTTTAAACTATTACATGACGATTCGTTTAAATTTCTCTCTCTTTCTCTTTAAAAAAAATATGATTATATTATTTTATATATTATTTTAAAAAGATCGAAGAACTTGATTTATTTATTCGTATTTTCAATTTTTATTATTCGATAAATTAAAAAAAATTTCCATTTTCACAATGGTGAATTTATATTTAAATGATAGAATATTGTTCTTGACCAAACAATGGTGGCGAAGACAAAGTGTAGTAGAACATGAATCTGATACGAAGTGACAGGAGGCGTGCTATTTATAACATATCATTACGTTTGGAAAAATGGGCCGATCGACTTTTCAGGTCAGCAAGCTTCGTGAATGAAGCGTGCTTCGTTACACCGTAGACGTTTTCCAACCCCGTTAATTTTAAACAGATGCTCGAGGGGAAGGAACGCAATGCCAGCAGACTTTATTCGACAAGCGGTGCGCATCAACCAACGATAATCAACCTAATGGTACCAATCAATCGAGATATAAAAAGTACATTAATAATTTTCTTGAATTCAAGGAAGAGCACTTTATGTAGACTGGAAGATTGATATAATTTTTAAAATTGGAAGATATCGAATTTATATCATAATCCTTCCTTGATCCAAATATCTTTCATGTCTTCAATACCTTTTAATCTGAAAGATGAAATTTGATTATTTTTATACCACTATTCAAAATAATTAAAAATTTATCAAAACAAATTATAAGCAAGTAACAATATTTCTCTAAGATTTTAATCGTTCTCTATCGATGCTTAAAGAGAAATATTTTGATTATATTGCTTCTGTATAATATGAAAAAAATATAACAAATAATATTATCATTTTCATTGGATACAACAAAATTTCACGAAAATTAAGTAATATTCATCATAAAGGATATGCTGTGTGTCGCGAATAGTGATTTTATTAATATTTATTTGCAAAAATTTCCATTGAGTTTCTAAATGAATTTCCATTGAGTTTCTAAATTTCTAAATGAGTTTATTTATTATCTTATTTGCAATAATTAATCCCTTTTGAACGAAAAGCCTCAAAATCCTGCATGTATTTTAACCGAAATGCAATCAAATACAAAGTAAAGATTTTTCTCTATGAAACACATATTCCTGTTTGAAATTCACCGACCTTAAAAATGATTACGTCTTGACATTGCGCAAATACGCCCCCGTTAATTACACGTTGAACGTGCTACGATCTATTTGTTGAAACTCGAGCATACACGGTCATAAACGTCGATCCTAATTTTGTGTTACACATATCGTGCGTGCGTACTTTAATGCAATTCGCGCGGAATTGCAGCCTCGTCGGTTGCCACGGTGCTCGAATGCCGGTAATAATATAACGTGAACCGTACCTACTCCCTACACCTAGTGACCCTGCAACAATATAGAGCAGAAAGTTAATCGAATCAAGTGATCAATGAATGCATATCCTATATCGTTGCGTGGGGTGGCTGATGGAGCTCTTCGTCAATTTTGTAATTTCAAGGTGTCACGGTATTTTGCGCCTTTTTTAAACAAAACATTAGGTAAAAATTACGTAGAATATTAGGGAATTATATAGCATGTTATTGTATCGTTATCGTTGGATTATTTTGGAAAATAAAATTGATAAGACTGGATTTACTTTTGAACTTATTGAATTTTATCAGGAAAACATCTTGACATCTTGAAATATTTGTCTGTGAAAGAAGTACGATACTTTTCTCCATTCTACATTACTTTCCATGCTGCAAAGAGAATTGAATGAAATATGACAACACGTCGAGGGAAATAATACGCTATCATATTTTATCGTTCACTTACAAGTTCTGTCCGAGAATTTTGAGAAAAACATTTAGTGGAACTTCTTGGATTCCAATTTTACATCACGTTTTATCGAAAACAAGAAAAGTCGAGAACAATATTGGAACACAAAGATAGAAACAATTTTTTTGAACAAATGTATTTTCAAATACGTTTACTTGAGATTATTTCTAATGAAACTATCAAAATTGATTGAAACGCGATCAAACGCGATTTTGATCCGTTTATTCACATTGACACGAAGATCTGAGAAACACCGTACGAATTTTAGACATTGGCAAAAGGATAAAATGCAATTTACTGTGGGTCTCTACGTGAGCGAACCGAACAATAACTTCGCAGACGTAATTTCCCCCTAACGTGCTCCTGCAATAAGCGTTCATTAATCATTTGAATTAATTCTCCATCTAGCGTACCGCAAGAAGTTAACAGTTTTAAATTTCCTATTATTCATATAGTCCCCTACGCTCCTATCGAATCTCGAAGGTGAAATTAATCAATGCATGTCGTGTGAGTAAAAGGGTCAATGGACAAAGCTTTCAAGTTTTTTAAAAGAGAAACGAATGGTTAAAGGATAATTATTATATGGTAAACAAAAGCACGGAGACGCTGGACGCTGTTGCACAAGGAACCGTAACGAGTTCATCGATCATCTAACTAGATTTATTTTCTGCCTCGTACACCGTCGTAAAGTCGCTTTAAATTTATCAATCTTCGTGACGTTTTAATTTATAGATCGTTAACCGGGGATTAATCGAACGGATAATTAAATAGCTTTTTTATCTCATGAGCAGAATATTGTTTAAAATGTTTTTTAACGTACGTTGAATTAATAGATTTTATCTTGTTTATATTTTTTTATCTCATTTTCCAATCAGATCATTATAGTCAATTAAGCCTTGATAATAGCCGATTTTTTTTTTCTCAAAGATCACATAAGATTCAAAGTTGTTACGAACGCATTGGATTTGTCTAATTCTTAAACTAATCAACAGGCAATGTACAAACAAAATGAAAAAAACAAATACAATTTTGTTAAACAATGAATTCGCTTCGTTCTTGCATCAATTTCTTAATACCAGAAATACTTTATGATATTATTCTTATGAATGTGAAAATTTGAGAACAAGGCTTTCACAGTGAGTTACTCGTAAAAGTAATAATATCCAATAATTAAAATGATTCTCGAGAGCAACTCGTAAAAGTTTTACTCTCAAATGTATTCGCATTCTCAAAGGCGAATAATTCAATTATCTGATATTGTAATATAAGATATTCGAAAATAAAAATTAATTTAAAAAATTCTTTAAATACAATACATACACGATTGAATCGAGAATGGTATAAACAACGAAGCAAAATTGAATTTTATTCATAAATGAAAATGGTTTAAACTCACAGAAACAGACAGAGAATAACTAAATCTCAATACGTTCTATCCTTGGCGTAATTAATTATTAGATATCACCAGATTCCCCGTAGAGCAACAAGTTAATTTTCAGCAATTTAAATATCAGATTGAATTTTAATTAGAAAATTCTTTTTTTTTTTTAAACGAAGCCACCTTATCAATTAAAGTTTACCATCGAATCGTAACTCGATTAATGCCCGAACAACGTAACGAAGATTCGATCTTATTCTCGGCTATCGACAGCTCGTAATTATCGGCAAAATACCCGTTCTCGTCGAACTTCACTGTAGTGGTCGGATGCCTCCTGGTCTCCCTTTTCCTCCTACGATCCCCATTGATCTCCTTTTCGCTACCCGGCCCTTTCTCCTCGCCGATCGATAGATCGGAATCGTAGCTATCGTCGCTACAACTGTCATCGATGTCGCTGCATTCCTCGTCGCATGTCGGTGCCTCCAAGTTCTCGTGAATCCAACGAAGGCTCATTCTCTTATGATAATTCTTCCACCAAGTTGATACCTTGATTTAAAATAAATATTAATCAGAACGAATGGTTCCTTTGTGAATTTTCTTCAATTAGAAAATTTGATATTGTATCCTATATGATTCTTTTGAGTTTTATATATATATGAAAGATATTTTTTCATAAATTGATGTGGCGAAAACACTTTTTAAAATTTACAGTATAGAACAATTACTAATGATCTATTAATCTATTTTTGAAAAATTATACGATAAACTCATCCTCTTACGGTGCACTCGTGATACTTTTTAGATAAATTTTATCGGGACGAAATTATAAATAGTTGAAATTTAATAGTTATTTTAATATTAATATTAGATTCAATTTTATACGATTCTTTTCGATTTTATCGTATAAAAGATACTTACAGATACAAAATCTACAGTAGAGGTATATGATTCCAATAATTTAATTTATCTAGATTTTAAATTTGAAATCAAATATTACAAATTTTGTATAGAAAAAGAGCGAAAAAATAAAATCAGAACTTATACGGAATTAAATGTACGATTTAGAAATAAGTCTCATAAGAATGGTCTATAAAAACAATTCGATATAAAAAACAAACGTGGATAATAAAAAAGTAATCGAGATTTTATGTAATGCACATCTACTAACAGCATCCCAGGAGGATATAATTTTATTATTGGAATTGAATAAATGAAGCAATGCAAATACAGTTTTCAATTTATTTAATACTTTGTTGAAATCAATATTATACGCAATATCAATAAATAAAAATAGAACTATGAAAAGTTTATTTGTATTATATTGAATTTTTTATGTTTGCTATATTGTAAAAAGAACTATTTCTCGTGTAATAAATAGAAAACTAACGGTGGTTCCGGTCTGTTAATGTTTAATTATAGTGATAAAGAAATAATACTACGTCTTATGCACTGATCGATATAATATCATGAATTTTAAAATTTTTTTCTTGTAATATAAATTATTACAAGGAAATAAATTAAAAAAAAGAAATCTATTTAATATTAATATTTATTCACTTTGTGTTCTTGAAAAAAGAAAACCTAGTTTAATTTATCAAATTTGTGAAATCGATGATTGTAAAATATCCTTCGAATCGAAGAATATTAGTAATATATTTTTCGCTCATTATCTAGAATCTTGAAATCGCGCGCCTTTCTCTAAATAAAAAATTCACTTTCCAACTTTGCAACACTTACATTAAATAATTCAAAAAAAGTTTCATATTTTTTAAAAAAACGTCTTGATACTACTCAAATAAGTTTAAAAATAAATTCTACTTTAGGAATGCACAATAACATTCATGAGAAAACCATTGAAGATAAGATAAAAAATTCAAACAATTCTTATTTTTTTTTACGCAAAGTATTATTTAAACGATAATTAAACAAAACAAATTCTTGAAAAAATTACACTACTATTGAACACTACTGAAAAACGCAGAAATCTAAGCAATTCTTATTCTTACTCACAAAAAGCCCTCGCAATTACGCAAGGAATTTAAATTACCTAACTCATCCTAGGCCATAAAATCACTCAAAATAAAAATTACTCGAAAAAAAAAAATCTAAAAAATAACAATACCGTATTCCCTACCTCAAAATACCACAATTTACACAAAATCTCCGATTTTATTCCTTCTCGCGAAATATACTCGCAACAATCGTTCAAACGAAGATCTAAAAAAAAAATCCTACTTCTCAAACACTCTTCAAACGTGAAACTCCCGTACAATGATTCAGATAAAAAAAAACAACAAACATTCTTACCTTTCTCAACTTCCTGAATGGTACCAAATATCCAATATTCCAATTTCCACTGGATCTCACGGTGATCAGGATTCGAAGGAAACAAAAACACGACGATCGATCGACACAATAGTTTTCGAAACACTATGGTTAAGCAACACGGTCAATTGATCAGCTGTCCGCGGTTCCGTTTCACGGGGTTCACGGATCCATTGTTCGAGGACGATTCACTGAGGCGGTCGACGGATGTGCAGACGCGGCAGAGCCTACCCAGGTGCCTCCGCGTTTATCACACGACTGAGCCGGCTCCGGCTACACGTCGTGGCTACACGTTGGATAATACTGGATATGACGCCGGCCTATTGGTTAGACGGCGTAGTCAGCGGTGGTCAGCAATTCGAGGTAGACTAAATTAAAAACGGGTACACGGGAGGCGAAACGCGAGAACTCGACGAAACGAAAGATCTTTTGTCAGCGCGCGCGCGGAATTCTGTAAACGAGACGGCGACGCCACTCGTCCGAGTAATGATGCCAGTCGAGCAGAGACGTTTCGAGATTTCATATGTGGAACGTCAAGGTGGTCTTTCAACCCTTTCACGCCCGATGTTGCGTATACGTGACACGGCACTTTAGTTAATTACTGAGCTAACCGAATATAACATTTTTTAAGTGAAACAGGTTTAAAATTAACCATTACTATTGGATTGGTGATTTAATGCAGGAGATCGGATACTTTTGATGGAAAATATTATCTTGTTACTGAATATATATACGTTAAACTACAATAGTGGATAGATTTTCTTGCGATTTTGAGCTGAAAAAGAAATCAGAAGTTTTATTTGAAATATCGTTAAATCTGTTTAAATATTTTTAAATTATTATTGTATATCTTAATATCTTAATCTTTGATGAAGATTTTATTTATAATTTTTTCTAATCTATTAATAAGTGTAATTTTATCTTACATTCTACTACATACCATGAATTTAAAACAATTGTGATAATGATGCATGATGAATGAGGAGGTAATTTACATCGATAATTAATATATGCGTACGTAGTAACTATCGAACAATGAGGGAAAAAATAGTTTGAATATTGTGTCAATGAATACATGGAATGCAAAATTAATATTTGCTCCATCTCGTGTGCATCTTATAGCTAGATAACGTTTCCTTTATAATGTGGCCAAGTCTGGTCTTCATCGTCAACCACTATGGGACATGTCCGTGGTTCTTTGATACGTAACAACGGTTGTGGTTAATGTAGTATATATATAGACAACCACTATTACTCTTCCTTAAAAAGTTCAAACTGGATTATCGATGACCAAAGTTCAAGAGTAGTACGTAGACTCGACTAGGATGAAAGTATCGTTATTCTCGATACTTTCGCATTGTTCGTTTCCGGTCGATCCTGAATTACCAGTCGTGATGCACGAAGCTTCACGCTTTTTCCTCTGGAAATTGAATATAATTATGGAGAAACATTAGTTGCTAATGATTGAATCGCTATGCTTTTTAAAAAAAAATCTTAATGTAAATTTTTCTTTTCGAAGAAAAGAATTATTTATTTCAATTGTTTATTCAACAATTCTAATTTTTGCAACTCTTGCTCTTCCTAATAGTAATGTCCTCTTGATTAATAATCATGTTAGGAATTATGAATCCCAATCTGCATATGCATTCTTAGAATCGCGGCTCCGTTATTAAAATTTTGCAATTTTATATTTCGTCTCTCTTCTTCAATTTTCATTACACTAAAAAAATAGAGAACAAACAATTAATAATAATTCATATTTTATAGAATTAAAAAATTTAGTAAAAGCTAGAAACAAAAACTCATTAGTTAAATTAATACAATAATGTATCAAGCAATCAAATATACTTTAATAATTCTATTGATCACAATCTAACTCACGAAATGTTATCCAAAAGTTCAAAAAGGTTTCGGTATTTTAGTAATTTTGTTCCTGATCATTCAATCGCTGTTTGACGTAATGGTACATACACAGGTGCGCGTCTATTAATAGAGAGTACTTAAATTTAACTTACCGATTAAATGATTGGACAAGTTGATTAATCTCGTGCCAAACAGAATCATTCTGGTAACAGAGTATTGTTGGACAAACAGATGGTCGTTTGGAATTTCTCTGACAAAGTCGAAAATTACATAGGAAATTTCACGGTATTTCTCTTATTCCCTAATCTAAACTTCGCGTGCTGTTGTTCGTTTATTTTGTTCGGAGAAGAAAGAAAGAAACGGCAGAAATCATAATTTTGCGAAAATTAAGGACAATCCTCGTATTGTCGAGGGTCGAAAGGTGGTTTGTGGGTTACTGGAAAGAAATTGACTGATTTATGATCGCGTGCGAATATCATATCGAATCGATTATCTATTCAAAGAGTTTATAATTTTATGCTCGGTATAGGTGGTTTGAGATGCTACGCTCCAATTCGAAATTCGTATTGTTCGTGTGTAACGAAGTGAGGATGAACATGTGTATTTTATAACGGTATTGGAAGAATACGGGAAGAAATCAATTTATTCATTTATCAATGAAAAGTACAGAGGAATACAAATTTATTATTACAAACGATATGTATTTAAATTAATTATTTGCATTTTAACTTCGAATTTTTACTTAAGGAAATTAACTTTCTAATTTGCATGTATATTCCAATGCATAGACTATAAATATAAATTACCTATTTATGCAAATAAATTCTTCCATTCATAAATTAAATAATATTTGTTTAAATTAATCCTCTTATTATATTTTTTTTTTTTTTACTTTAAAATACCTTTTTCTTTAATAAGATGAATTTATATATATAAATCATTATAATAATTTAAATTTCATTTTTATTATATTCAATTTCTACAACATTTCACTTCTATTTTTATTTTACTTGTTCCCAATATTCTCAAATCCCATAAAACCAAATCGGCCAATAAAATATTGAAAACGACAAACCTTCAATCCGAATTGTCCAGTAACACGACTCGAAACATGACGTATGATTTATTAAAGTCGTGAAAACGCGATTCATCCCCCATGACCGCGTGATGCACGCGCACACGCCCGTCTATTAATAGAGGGGACGTTGCTCGAATTACTGAAACTGATAAAGCTTGTCGAGAGGTAACTGAGTAATTCAATTCTCCGTGACGAGTTGCAACGCAGTTCCACCGATTCGTCTCCCTTCAACGCCGGTTTTTCACCTTGATACGCAACCCAACCTAGAATTAATTGCTTCCATGGAAGTGGGGTGCGCCGGATACCACGTGCATTATGCTCTATTTGTTTGTAGTTTACTAATCTACGTCTCGATCATCTAATTCTCACGGATTCCGATGCTATCGATGAAGTTTGGCGTGTTTTCTAATGTGAAAGTTCTGTGAAAGTTTGTGAAAAGTGTGCTGGTCCTTGAGGCTGTTTTTGTAGAATTTATATTTTTAAATATCAATACTTATGAATAGAGATTTTTATTGAAATAATTCTTAAATAACATCTATATAATATTTAATTTCTAAATGAATTTTTGTTATAAATAAAAGGAATATATTGATATATGAATGAATTCTTTGATATTTATTATAATTTTTATTTATCTTTATTATAGTACTTACGATAAAAATAACTAAAGAAAATCGTTGATAAAATTCTTCGAACGTATCGCTTTAAGCTTAGACTTCTCGATCTTTGGCTTCTCAACAGCCTTCGACGTCATCAAACTCTTTTTATCTGCTTAGTAAGATTCTCTCTCTGCTCGCTCTTTTACGCGCATCAAAGCTGCTAAATATACTCTAGCTATCATCGAGTTTTTACCATGAAAAAAGATCCCCTTCATTCCTCACAATCAGACAGATTAAATAACCATATAATTAATTTATAGATTTTTCAACATAACATCAAAGTAATAGGAAATTGTGACAAAATATAAACATCACAATCACTATAATAAACATTTATTCTTGATAATATAAAATTACATGTTTGCAGTTAACATGAGACACATATCATACAATATTTCACAATAACAAATATGCGTATTCGATGCGATACGATGGTTGCGCAAAGACGACTTATTATCATTAATCCGTGAGGGAAATGAAAGTCATCGTCATCGAATCTTGAACGCATCTAACTTTTATTTTTTTCATTAATTCGATAAAAAAAAAAAAAAGGGAAAGAAAAGAACACAAAACTCGAGCTTTGTAATTTGCATCTCGTTATGCAGCTACAGTTAATGATTGTACTACCGTAATAATCAACTAGAATCTAAACGATCGCTCTTGAAATATAGAGGTGTTATTTAATTTGATTGAAATCATCTACTGATTTGTAAATATTTAGACGAACAAAGACGAATAAAGACAATAAAAAAAGAACAAAAAAAAAATTAAAGAAAAGACACAAATATAGCAAGGGAATTAGAAATGTGAGGAAAAGAAAAAGGATTTGTTATTATAGCCGTCACATCAGAGGAATTTTTCTCATAAATAGCACGGGATAACTATATTACAAAAATATACATGTGAATCGTTCGTCGATATTTCACAGAGCTTATGGAAATTCGACGTTATTTTTCATCAATGGTCGATAGAAACAACTGTTTTCTTGCGATTTTTCATTTCATTGAATTTTTCCTATCATTATGCTAATTACATAAATACACGTTTATTTACACATTGCTCTCTGTACGTTCTACGGTTAGTCGATTGAAAATATATCGGCGTTACTTGAGAAAAATATCTTGATTTTTAAATTAAAGCGCACGAAGAAATAATCTTATGCAAAATAAGGACTAATACGTCCATTCTCGGTTGTACCATTTGTCAGTTTTATATACAGAAAAGAGGGGGATTTAGTGTCACGATCGCGTGCCACCGGTAGCTAATTGGTCAACTATAACTTATAAAATATAGCCGAGAGATGCTATATTCAAGTTAGTCAATGTGGTCCCATTAGCCACTTCCCCATTTTGGTTTTACACGCAACTGAACTTGACACCTGAAACATTATAATTTTAATTGTTAGATTGGGAATTAAGAGATAACAAAATAATGTAGATAAAATTATTAAGAAAAATTTCATTGAATTTATCTTTCTTTTTTCTTAATTTTAAAACGTATAATCTATAAAATTATAATTTTTTTTCTCTTTTTTTACCAATTGATCTGAAAAACAATTAAACACTTAAACAAATTTATAAAAAATGGAAAATTGTCGAGAAATTATTGACGTTTACCTAATTATAATCATACGTATAAATAGTGTAAGCTAAATGCGGATACCGTCGTCACTGGAGTAGCAGTTATGGCAGTGTAATTTTTGATTTCTAACGCGTACGTCTGTTCCCATTAATCCATCACCAAGTCGAACGTGACACACGCAGCATTTGAAACATTCCATATGATAGAACAATCGTAAACTCTCGATAATCATCGCGGCACCTCGACCTGGCGATTAATAAAATTAATTATTTTATTTTATTTTTCTGAACAGAAGTAAGAAAATAACAAGAATTTAAATATTTATTTCATAAAATTTCAACATAAATCATTATTTTATTAAAAGATATTTTACGTACCTAATTCATCTCCACAATGAGAGCACTTCTTCTTCCCGCTAACACTTAACATTTTCTCCTGGTTCTCATTATTCATTGACGGTGATTGTTGAGGTTTCTGTGGTTGCATAACATGTTGCTGCGATTGATGTTGCAACGCGGACAGATGTTCCTGGCTAGTACTATGTTCCAATCTGTAAAATTAAATGAATATTTACTTATTCGTTTTGATGCTTCCATTTCTTTGACACAAATTTCTTTTTGAATATTAACCTTCTTCTAGGTGGAAGAGGCTTTTCCTGCGCTCTGTTCTGCACCCGCTGTGTAAGAGTCTGTATGATAGAATCAGGTAATGGTTTACTGTCTGTCCTTGTAGGAGCAGTCACATAAGGAACCGATGTTCCTGTTATGTGCATTTGAGGTTTTCGCCCTGGTGATCGCTGATTCTTTTCGTTGATCCTTCTCTGTTCCGCTTCCTGTACGTAATATCAATAAGACACGAGACATAATTTTTAAAAAAAATTATATATAAATTCGAAGAATGATTTTACACAATTATTAAATTTTAAGATATTTACCTGAATGAGCCAATGATGGTGATAATTCAGATCGTGAGCACCTCGTGGCACGTCGCTCTTCCTCCGTTGAACCCATTGATCGCTTTGAACGATTCGTGGCCGAGGAACTGCACTGAGCGCCTGCAACGTTTGTTTGCTCATCTGTTGTCCAGCATGGCTCGATAAAGTCGTAACTGATGCACTGTGTCTCAAAGGTGTATCCATTTGCTGAGGAATCGAATCAGCCGAAGGAATCCTACTACTCCTGTACATTTTATAAAATTATCCACTTGTTAAACGATTAACATTTCATCGTTGCTTCTTGTTATTTAAAATTTTGCTTAATTGGAAAAATTCTTGCACAAGTTTTAACCACATGTTTTTAAAATATTATTGTAATATCGAATTATTACTACTGCAATTATTGTTTATTTATTTAAAAAAAAGGAAAATCGTGGTGCAACTGTTATATCGATTGTTCAAAGATTACCAATGACTGTCCCCGTAATCAGAAATTGCAAACAGTATTGTCGCCCAGAAGATTACATCAGACGCAACAAAGCGGAAAGTTTTAACAGGAAATTAAGTGACACGATTAGTGGTACTATTCCATCTCTAATTTACATTTCCTGTTAGTCGCGATCTGTTTAAACGTTGACATAACAATGCGCTATTGCAATTTCGTGGACTGCATAGCATTGCATCTGTTCTCCGTAATTCAATGCCTACCATTGAAATTAACAGAATGCGACATGCTGGATAAATATATATGGTATGATTCTTACCTGATAGTCACATCTCTTTGTCTCTGCTCGATCAAACGCAATGGTTTAGCTGGTGGTATAGGTGGAGGTGGAGGTCTTCTTCTTTGCACGTCTTGAAGTTGAAGATTCGGCATAGATGATCTATAATTTACAGGTGGTTGGTTCTTGAACTGTTGGATATTGTTCGCGGAGCTGTGCGCAACATCTTGCAAGGATTTCCACTGCTCTTGCAATTGTTCTGCCAATTTAAGCTGCTCTTGTTCGCGATACGCCAAATTGTTTCGTTGACGTTTCAACTCTTCCTGCTGCAACTGCAGCAGTTCCCTTTTCACTCTGAGGACTTCCTATTCCAAAGGAAACAATTGATTATATTTTATTCGTTTTAAGAAATGTATACATGTTTTTATTTTTATCTTTATTCTTTTTTATAAAGCTTGGAAAATAAAATGTATAATTTTGCCAGGTTGCCTCGTCTTTGTTAGAAGCAAGCATCGAGAGAAAATGATAAACGTTCCCTTACCCCGTAAGCAAACTCGTCTTCTTCATCGTTCGTACCAGCACCAACGTATGACGTGTTCTGCGAATAATTATCAACGATTCACCCGTTAACAGTGCGATATATTTAATTTACAACATGCAATATTAGAAGAATAGTTAGCATTATTTATTTTTTGGCGAAAAAACTTTAAAATAAATTTTTAAAATAAGAAATAGATTGACATATTTTTCACAATAATAATAAATGAAAAAATTCGTTTGCTTGTCTTGAAAATCAAAAAAAAAAAAAAAAATATATATTTAAAATTCAAATCTCTCATACCATAAACCAAATTATACATCTCACTCCAAGTGAACAATACTCCAAAGCATCCGCACCCACATAATAAAACCCCTCAAAAAAAAGGATAATAAACAAAAGAGAAATTGAAAAAAAAAAAAGAATTCATACCTCTTGTTCTCGAATTTGGTTTTCCATATCCCTAATACGTTTCTCCTCGACACGTCGCGCATCGGCAACCCTTCTCTCCTCCTCGATTTCATTCTGAAGCCTCAGCTTTTCTGCTTGCGCCCTCAACTCCTCTTCCTGCCTCTTCTCCTCAGCGCGTTTCGCCTCGGCCTCAGCCCGCGCCACTTCCTGTTGTCTCGCGGTCTCCTCCTGTTTCCGTATGTTGTCCTCGTTTTTGCGCAGCGTCTCTTCCTGTCGGCGCAGGGCCGTTTCCTGGGCGCGCTCCCTCTCCAACTGCATCTTCTCCTCTTCGAGCTCGCGCAGCTTGTGCGCCAATTTTTCGCCCAAGTCACTGTTTCGTCATGAATTTCAACTCGATTAACAACTCGACTGTTGATGGGCTTGCCCATCGCAAATTGTCTACAATGTAGTATACAATGCTTGTAACGTTTGAGAAGACGTGAGGAGCCAACAACAACGATAATAGCGATAGCGATAGTCAAGCGATAGTCAGGAAAAGACCAAAATTCGTAATAAAAGTGTTTATTTTATTCATCACCGTTTGTACATTATTGATCCCGTGATACAAATTCGTTGTAATTTCATTATTTACATACATAATTCACTCTTAGAAATATATACGTAGTGATCACCGAAGAGGCCGATTATTATTTTTATGAGATTATTTATTATATAAAAAGTTATAGTCGTAAGAAGAATAATATTTAAGAATAATTTATATAATATTAATAATATTAAAGAATAATTTTTTTCGTTTCAAAGCAAAACACTTGTCTGAGAAATAATTATTACGTTATTGGCAACTTCGGTCTCACCGGCATGCTTCCAACTACAAGAACAACAAAAATTTTCGTGCAAATATCCAAGAGATATGAAAAAGAGTCCCCACCGTGTCAAGCACCTGTTACTTAAATTGAAAAATCAAAAAAAAAAAAAAAAAAAAAGAGAAAAGGAAGGTAAGAAATCGTCTACCTACGGCAAGAAATTCAGAAACATTACAAAATACCTGAACCATTCTCAAGGACAGGAAGAAGATATATATATATATATATGTATGTACTATTCGTCTATAGAGAAGCTACGGTCGATCTAATGGATTGTACTCTAACCATCCTCCTTGTTTAAAATTACACCCACAAATTGTTTCGGGGAATTCCTACCTGTTCATCTCACGATTGTTCTCGTACCGCCACTGCTCCTCTTTCTCGAGGACTTCGATGATCTCCTTTTCTTTCTTCGTGATTTCGTCCTCTTCCGAGGAGGTGACACTCGCGCCGAATGGCTCGCTACTTTGGCGACTGTGTTGAGACATATCGGGGCTAACAGGCTGTTTAGTCCAATCTTCGGCGTGGCCCAATTCCACACCCGAATCTCTCTCGTGGCTGGAGTCTTGCTCGTAATTGCTGTCCGTATCGTAGGAGCGACGATGAAGCTGCTCGATGCGTCTCTCCTCTGCAAGGATCGCCGCCATGTCTGGCGGTTTTGTCAGGGTCAACTCGCGTTCCAGCTCGTCATCGTTTACCTGCAAATTGAAGACGATGATGCTCGAAATCGTGGTGGGAAGTTCGTTGAAGAAACTTCAAAATAAAATTCCAGATTCTCTCGATTGTTACTTCCCAATGATTATGAAGCAAAGCTGTAATATTCTTTGCAAACATATCATTTTGACAGAATGATACTTATTTATATAATGTGTAGTTGATATTTCATTTTTCAATCGTTTGCAGGAGGAATATCGTGGCAAAGTTACGATTAAATAAAGTTATATTTTAATATAAATGAAACGATACATATATTTTCCTGTATTCCTAATATTTAGATCTTTAATTTTTGTAATTTTTGTAATTTAGTTTTTGTGTAATAAAAAATGATAAAAATCTAAAATAAAATTTAAACGAAGATTCGAATTATTAAGAAAATTCGTTCGTTGGAAAATTCACGCTTGTAACGCGGTCGATGAACGAGCATGCGGAATCTCATCTCGCAATAATTACGATTGTGAATTACGTAAATCCATTCACATGCTTCAATTAATATCATTAAACGACGTAACGCCCGCGATATGATCTTTTGAAACGTGGGTGCGCCAACGGCCACGAAACACACCAACTTCCGGAAACAAGTGAAAGCCATCCACCAGAAGGAGGTGGAAAGCCGTGAGAAGAAACGAAAGTGTCGACATTCCTATCGTGGAAAAAAATTTTCAAGTCTCGTACGCACTTCTTCGCGCTGAATATTTCAATGCATCGAAGTCGAGAATAATTCAACGCGAGAAAGATTAAGGACAAGTGTCGCGTACCCCTTCGATTCCAAGGAAATCAGAGCGTCTCGTGCGTAGTTCCTTCTTTATTCTGCGGGTGGAGTTCAATCTCTTGAGAGGTTCCACTGGAAGATTCTCTTCGTCGCTGACGTCTACCGGAGGCGGCGGTGGTTTCTCCTTTGGAGGTTCCACGCTGGTCGGTGGCCCCAGGGGAAACGCCAACCCGGTCACTATTTCCTCGTCACTGGATAGATTCAGTGGCAAAATCTGTCGAAACAAAAGAAAATCCTTATAGAAATGAAAATTTATCACCGTAACTCTTCACAATTGATTTTAGAAAGAAGACTATTCGAATTTATTTATGAAATTTTCACACGAATAATTAAAAATTGAAACGAATCGTCTACAGATTTATGTATACTTTTTCATCATTTCCATTACGAAACAATCTGTTCTTTCATTAGCGATTCACAAACGTTTAGAAAGGGAAAAACAGAAAGAGGGGAAGAATAAAGAAGCATTGAATGCAAATGGCCAAAATCCTTATCCGATTCGAATTGAGGGTGGCAGAAGCACCGTTCTCCGCCTTACCTGTTTCGAGATGGGCGATATGGGGCTGAGTAGGCTGATCGTGTCCACCGTGGCCATTTCCTGTTTGCCAAAGGTCAAGGTCGTCGGTCTTTCAGGCGCAGAGACGGTCTCAGGTGTATCGTGCACGTCGATCGACTCCTCGATCCGTGCCGGTGGCTCGTACGTCTCGATCTTCACGTTCATCGCCGCTTCCTTTTCCTCGTGCTCCTCGTGTTCGACTGGCTGGCTCGGCTGGCAAATCACCGCCGCCTCCTCGTCGTCCGCTTTCTCGATAACGATCGGTTCCTGAAGAGACGCGGCTCCGCGTTATTCGTATTTCTCGTGTATACCGAAACGGGCTCCGCGGCTAGGCCACGAATTTTGCAACGCCACATTCTATGCAAATCGACGCGCTACGCCCGTGGACCAGGGTTTCTCAAACTTTCGCGATCTGTGCCCACCCTTTTTTCTTCCTTTTGATGGTTACACGGAGTATTATTATAGGCGAATGTGCGCGATTATCGAAACTATCATTGGAGATGTATCGTGTAAATATCAATTTCAAGGATGACGCAAATTCCTTTGTAATTTTTCTGGGAATTCTCCGTTTTGATTTGGACGATACTATTCGTAGAATAATCGTCGAAGATTCGATAAGGTTTGTTGACATTTGATAACTATTCTGTTGATCTTGTGATATTTGTAAAAATTTTCCGGCCGTGAATTCTGGGTTTTAGTTTACATTGGTGTTTTGATATTTATAATTTTTTTTAATAATAATTATAATAGCAAGAAGATTGTAGGAAAGGTTTTGGCTTTTGATTTCAATATGAATTGCAATTTATTAATGTATTATAATGGAAATGAAAAATTGTTTCGTATGTACGATGTTCATCAAATTCGTGTTAAGTGTTTCGATTAATGTAATGCGAAGATATTAAGAAAAATAAGTGTAAAACGAAGCTTGAGAAACACTGGATTTCGAGCAATAAGTTGAGAGGCAACTGCGGTTTCGGATGGAAGATTATTTTGCATTCTCGTTTGGGCCTCGTTTTGCTTTTTTATATTCTATAAACACAGATGCACTGGTGTTCATGCATGACTATTATGATTTTTTTTTTACCATGTGCAAAGATAAAAACACACTAGACGAATAATTAATCTATGAAAATTGACGATTAAATAATCAATATCAATTAAACTTATTCACATCAAATAGATAATCAACTTATAAAATAAAAAAACAGTTTTAATTTCACTTTAAAATATATAAAAATCCGAAATTAAACTTATTCACACTAAACAACAGATATTAATTTGGATTAATTAAATAATTCGAATAAAATTTTTTTCAAAATGAACGCATAAAAAGAATCAAATGAACAAGAACTTTCGTGTTAATAATTTTACTAAGAACTGCCATAATTAATATTAATTGTGCAATTTTGTAATTGGATTAAAAAGACATTTAATCACAATAATTACATGCATCAGCCGCAAAAAGCGTTCTTTCATGCATTGGACTTATTATTTCGTAAGTTTTCGTGCAAATATCATAAATTGTCGTCGACCAAAGTGCGAGCAAATAAATGATAAGATCTTTTGGCAATAACGATAACGTTTATCTAAATCTTTATAAGTAGAGTTGTGACTGTATAAATCCTCTATATTCTCTATTCTGGATTAAAAAGTTTAACTGAATTAACTTTTCAATGAAGATCTTTTCAACGAAGCTCAAATATGATTTGTTTTTATCCTTTCTAGAATAAAAAAAAATTAATACACAATGATATATTAATAATTATATAAGACAAATGACAATAGAAGAAATAATAAAATTATAAGAAAAACATAAGAAGATCTTTTTTTAATAATTTTGTATAATCCTTTATGATCCAATTCAAGATAAATGGATCATAAATAAACTTGAAAATAAAAAAGAAAAATAATATATCCATAGTTTATCTCTGCATCGGGAAAAAAATATAATTCTTGAACATCAGTTTAATACAATTAGAGTAGTTTAAAACAAAAATTGAGAATCTCGAAAATGAAATATACATATCTTTATAAAGAAACAATGTAAAGCTGTTCAAAAATTTGCCATCAATTATATTAATTCCACTTATCTTTTCATTTCGAAATAATCATAAATGAAACAACGAAAAATATAAACTTGTATTACTGTAAATACTTGCAAAGTTTTCCTAAAATTGATTTTTTAATATTCAAAAAACAATGCAAATGATAAAAAAAAAATGATCTCTCTCTGAACCGAATGCTGCGATAAAGATGTTATCACGAGAAACTACCGATTTATGACTATTTGAAACGGTGCTGAGAGAAGATAATTATTTCAAAGTGCAAAGATCGCCGAGTTTACGGCGAATGGAAGAGTTTAACGCTCAGATCACTGTAAGAAGAACATGTTTGGCAACCTCAGAAGACTGATCACCAACGATTTAATTACTTTCTGCATGATTTCGCTATGACCCGATGGGTTATCAATTCTTGTCGAAATGGAAATAACTCGAGTTGGAAATAAAATTTTAAATAATTCCATTATTTTTTTTCGTCAATTTATTATAATTATATAATGCGTTCAAGTGTATATTGCAATCTAATGTGTAAAATTATTAAAAAAAAAAAAAAAAAGAAATAGGAAGGTTTGTGCGAATTGAAACGAAAACTAGAAAGATCGATATAAAACTGGTAAACTGATAAAATCAATTAAGCTAGAGCCATGCATCGGATCGATAGCAAATAAAAAACTAGCGATAAGCGGGATAACTAAATATCCGGTTGTAAAGGAGACGCATGACCGTGGGCTTTATCGCTAACTTGAACAATCGAAAGCACCGTCTTACCTCTTCACGTTAGCAGAGCTTAGGTTCATGACAGTTGCTCGAAATTGACGATGATCATTGACGATGCTACAGCAGACAAGCTGGTAAAAGATCGAATCAAATTTCTACCTTTGGTAGAATAATTACTCTTCTCGACAACAATAGGAAATGACAAACGTCGACGAACGTTTTTTGAGAAATCAAGCAACCAATAAATTTTACGCGAAGAGGGAAAAAATTAAAATTAAAGAAAAAATAATAATAATAATAAAAATTGTAATACAAATAGAAAAGATTTTTTGATGTTCTTATTGCTCTGCAAGGTCAATGGAGTGTCGATATTATAATGAAATTACTGATATTAATAACTGAAAAAATAATGCAAGGGAGGGGACTAAGCCAGAGATAATCGGTCAACAAAAAAAAAAAAACTTTTTTCAAAAAATTAATGAAACCAGATGAAACGCCACACGATTCTCTTACCTCCTTCATTGCATCGATACAGTGCGTCGAAAAATGAGAAACGCGATACTGGAACGATTAATCGTAACAATTTAAAACAATTTTTATCAGTTACGAAGCGTCTTTCGTAATAATTAAATGTCACTCTGACTTTTGATCCGTGGTTCAGGGGGACGACACTTTAAACACATTCGTCGATAGATTGCAATTGTGCGTCGAGGCTTGAGTCGTGAGCGATGACGTTGCATTATAAAAATAGATCAAGATAGATATTTACGATTGATATTTAGCTTAGCCGATAATCGATAAAAAATTAAAAATTTACTTTCAAATTCGAGATTCACGATGGCTCGGGTTGTCTCATGTCACAAATCAGTGGAAGACAGTTTGAAAATTTATACTGTTTCCCCTTTATTTGAGATTCAGGCGTTTTGAGAACATATTCCAGCAGAATATCCATCATTTATTTCGAACAATTCAGGGTGACGAAGACAATGATGATCGGTGTGTTGAAACTTTAAACTCGATATTTAATTTCTCGGCAGTGTTTTACTCGAAAGGCGATTCGATAGCGATTATTCGTGTATTCGTCGAATACGAAATCAGGGTTCTTTGAAGCAAAAGTGAACCCTGTTGCTCTTTCTATGAAATTTTCGTAAAAGAAATTTTATTGTACCGAGAAATGAAATGATTTTTGATCTTAGGGAAACTTCGATTCATTCGTGCTTCAAAAAATCCCATTCTCGATGAAATCTCAATGATTCACGATGAAAATATGACACGAGAAAATTTCTCATCTCAGTGAATTTTATATTTTATCAATTCGATTTCTTTCTCTCTCTCTCTCTCTCTTTCTCTCTTTCTCTTTCATTCTCTCTTTCTCTCTTTCTTTCTCTTTCTCTCCCAAACACTACAATCGATCAATTATTCACTAGATGCGCGCCAAGTGTTGACAGGTTGTGTTAAGATCGGTTACAAGTTAATCTAAAAATGAAATTCAGATTATTTTATAATTGAGATGATATTTACGATCCTTTATCTTTCATCTAATTGGCCCTTTCTTTGGTTTTCATAATATATATAGCTCAGAATATATCGGTTCAATAATATAATCATATTAAGAATATCATTAATTAATTTGTTCATCAAATGTCACACACGATGTTCATGAATTTTTTTATCACAATATTTTTCGATTTTTTTTCCCTTTTTTTTTTCTTTTTTTTCTTTTTTCTTTTTTTTTTTTTTTTTTTTTTTTTTTCTCCCTTTTTTATATCAGGCAGCGATCAATCGTATTAAGCATCGGTGTCTTAGGTCCAAAATCGTTATTTCCCTGTTTGATTAGGCCACTACGTTTCCATAATTATCGATGTTCTTACGAACTGATATTACATTCACCTCCGGTTGATACGTTATTTCCGGTTACCTGATTCTAATTCTACTCGATACTTGGGGTTATTATTATTATGTACGTTTTGCTTCTGCGTCGTCTATTTACATCGTTAGCTATGGTCTCACGCCTTCGTTTCCAGCGAGATTTGTGCGTAATGGCGGATAATAAATACGTGTGGAAGCGAGAGGCGAAGACGGGTTATATTATCCGGAAATCCTAAGTGGCGAGATTCGTTTTCCTGATCCGGCAGATACGGATATCATTTTCAAGGATTCCTTCGAAAATCCTTCGTTACGAAGCGATTATTCGATAATTATCGTAGTCATCGTAGAGGCGATCGACGAGGCACGATAAATGAGAAATATTCAGATAGATTCGATATAAGCTCGTGAGTAGATCGATAGAGTTTCATTAACTGGCTGAGATTGTCAGTATTTGAGTAATCCTTGTATCAAAATTTCATGTTATTTCTTCTAGATAATAATTAGAAGAAATAAGACAAAAAAAGATGTATTTTAATGAGCACTCGCTCGAAAAAAGTTAAGGGAAATAGTTTAAAATTATTCTATTATATGTACTACTATATCATTCTCAATTATACGTACGATTATCATAGCCAGTTAACGAAATTACCGTAACTTTCGTTCTAAAATTCTATTCCCCCCTAACTTTATTTCAAAAAAGCAATAAACTCTAAAATCTATATTTACTCGACTCTTTTCATAAGAATATGATCAAGTAACAAATCCCGCCACTTGGACGCCCCGTTTCTAAAGCCCATTCTTATGTACAAGATTTAATGGAAGTTAGACGAAGCTAGGTCTAACGAGAGGGGGCGGGGGACAACTGTGCTACGCGAGGATAGCCAAAAGAAAAAAAGAAAAAAAAAAAGAAAAAAAAAAGACGAACGAATTTCTCGCTCCTTCCCCTCCCCTTTAAGACTTTCTCAAAGGGCTGCTAGATTGGTGATCGTTCCTAACCTCGGTCGGTGAGCTCTGCTTCTCATTGACGCGATCCACGGTGATGAATGGCGTCACAGGAGGCGTTGTAGGTATCTTGCCCTGAGGTACCACCACCTTTTCGCAAATTTCCACCACCGTTCGTCGTCTTTCCGCAGGCAGTGCCTCTTCACCCACCGCCACCTGGTGTTTCGTGCTGAACGTGGGGGGCGAGATGTGTTTCAAGGATGTTAGAGGTGATTGTTCCAGGCTCGAAGAAGGCGATACGACAGGGATATTCGTGGTAGACGACACGTTGGAACCGACGGGGATCGGTATCTCTGACGCTTTTGGGAATTGGGGAGAGGATGACGATTGACCGGTTGTTGATTGACTCTTCGCGTTTGTCGTTCTCGATTTCAGTGACGGTGCCTTGGATGGCGAGGATGGCGAGGTGGGTGGGCTCAGAGAGGAGGTGGAACTGGTCGGGGAAGATTTCGTGCCTATAGTTTTACGAGGAAGGGGGGTGGGGATTTTGGATGCCGCTCTTGGAGACGTGACTGGCGTGATCTTCTGAACTTCTTTCGAGGTACAGTTCGAAGTTGAGGTAGTAGACTCTAGTTGAAGGTTCGTTGGGACGGCCGCCACCCTTGCGGGTGACAGAGAAGAGCTGTCCGCGACAGCAGAGTCTAACGAAACCGAAGACGAGCTCGTGATTTTCAGTGCCGAGTCCTCTTTCGAGGCGGTCTGAACATTTCCCTCGCCACCGAGATCGGACTCCTGCTCGTCCGCGAACAGTTTGATATTCGACGATATGGTGTTCGTTTCATTGAAGGACGAAGAATCTACTTTGGTCTCGGTGTGCTCTTTGGGAACAGGCAGCTTCGGTTTGGGAAGCGTTTCGGGAGGTGAACGTCGCGGAGGTACTTTGGGACTTTGATATATGATCGGGCGGCTCGTAGCAGGACAGGAGCGAAGTGTACTAGAGTTAGTAACCTCTATGTGTGCCTGCGATTGTGATTTGTTAGTCGACAGTTCCCCAGAAGTGTCAGCAGTACCCTAGAGAACCAAAGAGTTATTGGATAGATCGTACTACCTGCCATCCCGTTGCCAAACAACAAGAATAGTAGATTATCACTCGAACTCGCGATTGTTAAAATGTTGTTTCAGGCGCGGTCGTAAAGTAAATGGTATAGCTTCGAATGATTTCACATTGGAGATAATAGAATTGCAAATCGTATTTTTTTTTTTTTAATAGAAAATTACGATTAAATAATTAACATTACTCGACGACCGTCCTTCACAAAACAAACTCGAACCGGATACTTAATCATAATCGCGATCAACATAATTACTCCTTAATTATATCCGACATAATAGAAAAAAAATCGTCCGCGAACGACAAAGCAAACAGAACTTGTATATCCCACTCAATGGATTCACTTTTTTACATACGCCAGCCAAATCGATATAACGACAACTAACAGTAGATTTACCCAGTAGAGAAACCGCCATGCAACACCGTCGTTACGCCTTACCTTCTTTGCCGTTACTGCGTCCGGTTGGCTGGCAGAAGTCGTCGAGATCTCGTTCACGGATACAGCAGTGCTCTGTTGTTGTTCACCGACCTTCTCGTTCGCCGCCTCTTCGCGGGGCTCCTCGGGTTTCTCCTCGATCACCTCCTGCCTCTCTATGATCGTGTTAGAGTGCACGATATCCTCGTCGACCGGCTCGTCGGCTTGGCTGACGGAGCAGCTCACGTCGGCCGTGTGAATACCCGAATCCTCGCGATCGGTATCGTTCAGCAGTTCGGCGGACGACGAGGACGCCGGATAACGTCTCCCGTAATCCAATTCCTCCAAGCTTTGCACGCGCTCGAACGTGTCGGGGCCGCTGGACGCGTCCGCGTCCAGGGAGTCGAGGCTTCTGTGGAAGGCGGCCCTTGGCGCGCGATACTCCGAGTCGGGCGACGAGCTTCTCTCGCTAGGAGTCGACGTGTCGATTCTGTTCTCTTGATCCCGGAAGCAGAGCGAGTGCTTGCCCACGGACGATCTCTTGTCGCCCGTTTCTTTGTTCCTGGCCGCGTCCAAAGCGCTCAGGCGATCCTTTATCGATCTGGCGGACAGCTCGCCGTTGTGCCGCGACTCGTGGGCCGCGCCAGGCGCCGACGACTCGTCGCTGCTGCTGTATTTCTCCAGGGTGGACAATCTGTCCCGCAACGGTCTCACCGTCTCCAACTCCTCGGTGCTCAGTTTACGATGAGCGCAACTCTTCTCCCTCTCCAACGCCTGCTTCTCCAGATGGGACAATCTTTCGCGGATCGAGCTCATGTCGCCCGATAATCTGTTCAACGCCTTGCTCCCCGCCTTCTCGCTGTTCTCCGCCTCGTGCTTCTGTTTCTCCAGATTCGAGAGCCGCTCCTTGATCGATTTCGTGCCGGTGAAATCGCCGGAGAGCCTGTTGTTCGTTTTCGTCTCGTTGCTCTTCTGCGATGCTTTCTCGAATATCTCCCGCCTCTTCAGGATATCGACCTTTACCACCGGTATGGTGGACTTCGCCTCGTCGGTCAAGCTCAGCTTCGAGCCGTTCGTCGACGATTTCGCGTTGTCGAGTTTTGAATCAAGATTGACCAACGATCGCCTCGGTATGTTTTGCGACACTCGCGACACGTAACCTCGAATCGCCCCCTCGTACGTGTATTCCTCAGGCTCCGGGGAGCTGGTCGTCGCCGTGGTCGCCGAATCGTATTCCTGATTGTTGTGACTGTGATTGACGGTGTGAAACCCGTTGCCGAAAGATTTCTTCGTCGCCGTTGTCGTGGTTGCAGTCGTGGTTGCCGACGATGTCGTGATGTCGCTGTGGATCGCGCTCTCGCTTTGCACGTTGTCCACGTCCGAGTGATTTTTCTCTATTTCGCTATCTCTATCGCTCTGGAAGAAGTTTATCTAGTTTTTATCCCATTGCAATTATAACGGTAATTAGCACTGCTAATACACGTACATCGGTAGTTAAGACGAGTGAAATGCGCGACTCGATCACTCTTTCTTATTTTGTGGAAAAATCGAATATATATATATATACATATATATTTAGGAGTTAAAGGCTTCGTCACTGGCCAATTGTAAAAATTAAATAACGTATCATGATAAAATATCAATAGTGTAATTATTACCAAAACACTATGTGTGTCGTCATGAGTATCTCCACTAACCGAACTCTTCCCACTGCTGGTGCCTATACCAAGATCGCTCAGATCATTGGCATCCTCCTCGTGGTACATGGCCAAGCTGATGCTCAATTTCCGACCCCTGTTGCCCCTCTCCTCCATCATTTCCGAGAAAGTTTTGCTCCGACGACGCTGCCGATCGTGTTCCTCCAGCTCGAGTTTCTTCACCTCGACCACTCGCTCGATGATGTGTTCCTGACGCTTCCTTCGACTGCTCTTCCAGTTGTCTAAATTCTGTACAAACAGGAAAGGAACAATGATTATCGTCACTTTTCGATTATTAAAAAAAAAAAAAAAGGTTAATTTAATTTTATTATCGGAGTATATCTTTTTATATCTTTTTGGAAAATAGCGTTGAACCTTACCGATTGCCAATCTTCGGGATCATCGCGGACTTCTTGCTTTATTTTCTTCACCTCTTGAACTTTTTGCAATTGTTCCTGAGCTGTGCGATACAAAGAGCACGGTCCGACTTTGACGAACTGAAGAGGATTGGTCGCTTGCTTAGGAGGCGTTTTCAGCGTCGTTTTTAATTTTGGCGGCTCGTGTGTGATCTGAAACATATAATGGGGAATCATATTAACAAGATGTTTAAAAATCTAGAATAAAATCTTCTCTTGTGAATAATTTAACATTGATTTCATCAGAAATTTTAAATTATCCGCAGTACAATTTTTTTTTTCACGGAATATAAATCGAAAATCTCTCGTTAAAAAATATATGAAACAAGAAGCGTAACAAAAAAGGGAGTGGAACTAAAGTGTACGATGAGAATCGAAATAAGAAGACATAGAATGGAAAGGTGGGGGAAAAAAGTAATCAGATTCTAGTTTAACGTCGATAACCGAGTAAAAACTGTTGTGTTACGGCATCGCTGACTAGCCGGAAGCGGAATCACGCTCCTACGGTACTAAGGCTTTTCAAAAGCGAACATCGTTGCGAATCGTTGCGCGGTAGTTAACGACGATTGTCGTCCAGACTCTCTGGAAAATTGTGTTTCTTTGTTCCTTTAACTGTCATACCCGAAGAAAGAAGCGTCACTGATGATGGGCGACATTTTAATCAATCCCTTTTAAACCTTTTATACGATCTTTTATTACTATACTTTACATTCTCTCATAAAAATAACGTAACAAATAATAATAACAACTTTAATAATAACTTTCTCAAAAATATATTATCATTATATACGAATAAATAAATCGCTTGATCGAAGAAAGAAAATCTCTAAATTCGTTTAAATATTTCCCACTTGTTAACTAAACGTTAAACAAAGAGATACCTTTCAATTCCCTGAACATTCATGAAAACAAGAATACCGGTGAATACGTTCACTCGTCCACTAAATCTACAACTTCCTATCCGACGTCCAAACTCGAGGCAAAAACGGCTCGCCTCTTCCATTCGCGCCTTCCACCGAGAAAATGGGACGCTATTTCCCGAGGCATTCATCTCGCACCCCCTTCAACGTTCCCAACGTCGGCCGACTTCCTGCGGAAACGACAACCGTGGAAAGGATATATACTCACCATCCTCTCGTTTCGCCGCTCCGTGGCGGCGGTCTGCGAGGCGGGCATCCTTCGTTCCTTCCTCCTTCTCTCTCTCTTCTTGGGGGGAGCTCCTCCTCTTCAGTGTAGCACGACAGCTCGCGCGGTCGGGCCCATCCTACGCCTCGTCCCTGGAACAACAGCAAATCTTGTTACAAACTTGACGATCTCGAGAAACGCGGCTGTCGATGACCGAGGAAACGAGTGCTGTCTCGATTTCGTGGAGCTGTTCGATGGGTAGAGATGAGGTGTTTGCTGTTATTATTTATCGACCTCGGTTTTTCAATGCGATTCCTCTGTGGGAAATCGGTTGATGTCGGTTTTTGAAGGCGAGTGTCGATATATCGTGCGAAGTTCGCGCGAAAGGGACGAGAGAGTTGGTGGAGAGTTGTAATGCGAGAGTAGTAATCATCGATTGAACTCGGTTTTTTGAACGTTGAGAACTCTGTGAGAAATCGTGATGTTGGTTTTGAAGGTAATGGTTTCGAGGGTGTGAGAGTAACGTGAGAGGATGAGAGGATGATTATTGATTAATTTTTTATTATTCTTTACACGTAGTTTGTCAATTATATATTTCTATTATTAAATGGAAAGACTGTTTCTGTTAACTATCAATTATATTTCTTTCAATGATCTTTCGAGACTGCGAAATTAGAAGGGAGTTGAATGGAAAGGGGGAGGTAAATATCTTGAAAAGGGGCACGACAAAGGGAGCAATTAATCTTGAAGAAAAATCGCGGGCTAGAGAGTTGAAAGAGGGGAAAATATCGAAACTGTGGACAATGGATATTGAGAGAAGATCCTTTACAATGGAGAAAAGTCTTGGCACAAAAAGCAGATCGGTACAATAAACGTATGAAAATAGATAATGAAGAAGACCGAAAGAAATAAGTCTCATGGAAATTTAATAATATTTTCCTGTACATTGAAAATCAATATATATATATATATATATATAGAAATAAACTAACGTTTCCATACTATTCTTATTATATATTATTATAATAATTATATATTATTATAATAATCCAATTAATTATCCAAAGATAACAAGGACAGGGCAAACAAGAAGAAGATGAAAATAAACGGAGAATGTTTGAATTATAAAAATTCAAATATCTTGGGAACAAATTTTTTTTTAATTTCTCATCGAGATAAACCAAACGGAGATGACCGTGTTGCAGAATTCCTTCGGTGGAAAAGATAAACCAAGTAGACGAAAGAGAAGAACACGAGAGATGGTATTAAAACTGGTTCGGATCCAGCGGATAGAACGATTTTAAAAATTCGTTCGGGGGAAATGGAGCAACAGAAACGATTATTTTATCAGAACAGGGCAGAAAATCGACTTTTGCTGGCTACCACTAATGAACTGGCTAATTTACGATTTCTCTTACGCGACGAAATATCGAAACGATAATTAAGAAAGGCATATTTAATGATTGTACTGCTACACCGGCCTTGTAATAGTTGATCCAATATTGTTAATAGTTGAAGAAAATGAAGCGAGACTAATACGAGTGATTTACGATACATTTTAATGATTTCTCGCGAAATATCCATATTCTATTACTTATTTTGCGACTTGTGTGTAATTATCTATCTCACTTCCCGTTTACCATCGTCTATACAAGCTCTAACAATTAATAATCATTTCTAAGTTTTTAAATAATAAGTCAACTAAGATTTCGTAATGTTGTACAATTGAAGATAACACAAAGTTTCTATAATGGAACAACTTTTCATCGATATATTTCTTCCGGTCTTTATTTCGCTCGACATATATCGTTCGTCGAGTAAATATTATTACAGAACGGCTATGTTTGCACGATGCATCCGTTGCGAACGTTCTATTTCGGACGGTAACCTCAACTTTCAGCTGATCAGCTGAAAACATCTCAAGGCTGTTGATTTTTCCTTTGTTGATTTAATCCTTTGAACAATCGTGCAAAAATCTAGGAAATATCGTATTTATTCTTCTTCTTTTTTTTTTCTTTCTTTTTTTTTGAAAACTCGAAGAGATTTTGCGGAATGACAAAAATAATATCAAGAGAAAATTAATAGTAATATCAATGCCGCGAAGGAAAGTGTCTTTCATTCCATTAATTCGAGACAAATTGTGTTTGTCGGAAAATTAGAAAAACAGGTGAATACAATATAAACAGGAAATTAAGAAAACTTAGGCATAGCACGAATAATCGGTAACAGCCTCCAAGCTTGCTAATCGTTGAGAACGAGAATATGCAAAATCATGTGTAATCGCATGCGAGCTTGTTTATTCATGGAGAGAAGTGGTTATTACGAGAGGCGTGTGTCGTGGGAACGAAAAAAATGTTACACTTTTCATCGTTCCATTTCTAATGAATTAAATAGGTAAATAAATTTACATACATAAATATTTCCTATGATATAATAGCTTAAATAAAAAAAAAAAAAAAAACTTAAAAATAATACAACGAAATATTCAATTATTTCATTATTCATTTCCAAATTGGTTTACGATTACTTCCCTTGATTTCTCCTCCATCTCAAAGTTTTATTTTCCATTAGAAATTTATGTATCAAAAGTATTACCTCCGAGAGAGATGATTACTCTATTCGCTCTTCACGAGCCAATGCATCCAATTCGTTGAATGCATGGATGACTCCGTTGTTCGCAAAAGTTTCAAGGTATCGCGTAGCTACTGTACCATAAAATTCAATGTTAACAGAGAATAAATCCCTTTGTGTTCCACGATGAAAACCAAAAAGGTTCGTCTCGCCGAGACGATAAAGTATTCCGGAAATGGAAACATCGCGTTAATCACTTTCGAGGTAAAGCAAAAGAATGAAAAGAAAAGAAAAGAAAAGAAAAAGAATATTAAAAATACGCGAAAACTATATGAGAAACAGATTTACCTTTTCACAAGTCGTTAACAAGAATCGTAATCCATGCAGAACTATTCTTAAACAACGCCCGCAGTTTATAGATGTTTACTTTTTAAGCGAGAATTTTACTTTCGGTGCGTTTCCTGTTTCTTGAAAGGTTATGTTCGAAGTATAGGTTAAGTCACGTGCTGCGTTGAATCGGTAAATAACTGTTTTACAACTATCGATAGATGGGAATAATAAAATAGCGTTTGCCTCGTTTCGTTATATTCATACGTCTCAATTTTCCATCGTAATCGTTTATTTGCCTAATTTCGCCCGATATTCCTCCATCTTGAAGGAAATCGCAAACGCAGCAAAACGAATTCGCACAGGGGCCACGAAAATATTTCAAGCTCAACTCACTTCACGGCTCGAATCGAATATTCCACGTTTCCCAAGTAGAAACTTCTCCTTCCCTATCCGCCGGATTCAAGCAACATTCGAAACTGGCGAAGAATGGTGAAGAACCGGCGACAGGTCTGACCACGATGATGCCGACACGCTCTGTATCCTCCTCGACCGTGATGGGACCGAGGGCAGAGTCGAAGAGGAACGATCAAAGGCAGCGGGGACGTCGCCGGAAATCAGGATATATCGATATGGCGGCGCGTATACATTTCGCCGTGGAACGAGTACATGTACACCTTGATATGCTCGTAAATCTTGGCTCGGATGCAAAGATATTATCGATCTCTCAAACTCTTCTGTGCGATCTTAATATATATCTTCGAGGTCATTTCCTCGCCGTTAATTGGATGCGTGCTCGTTCTCGAAACGGTGCAACTTTCGGAAATTTATATTTCCTGCTTGCTAACCTTGCCGATTTCCGGTGATCATAACAGTCGCCTCGCATTATTTGAACAGGAACAGGATTTTTGAAAAAGATAGATCGTGCATTGTGAAGTTTGCGACTGAATTTATGGCTGTTTGACGGCTACGTCTTGTCTTGTAAAGAATTTTTGAACTATGAGAGGTTAAGAGTTATTAAGTTTGTACAAGATTTGAAAATTTTATGATTAACAGAAATAGAAATTATAATTATGTAATGTACATACATATATATATTTTACGTAATATAATATTTTAGTGTGCATTACGTATCTCACGTTAAGATAAAATTCGTAAAACTTAATTCCAAGAATCTCCTTCAAAAAAAAAAAAAAAAAAAAAGAAAATCTTCGTTATACAATTTATATAATATTCTCCAGGGGCAAAAAAAGAAAATTATATACATTTAAAAAATATAAAAATACAAAATCCTGTTAAAAAGGATTCCAGACTTTAAGGGATCAATGATGTTTCGCATTCCCTACGGATCGAAACAGTGGAATAATCAGTAAGCACCGAGACGCCCTGTAACGCCTGTACGTATCCCCGCCTCGTGAAAGGCAAGGCACGTTTGTTTCTTCTGGCAGGGCTGATCTGCATGTCAAAGAGGAGGGAGGGCAGGCAGGCGCAGCATATTGACACAAGAGACCTCAAGGAGGTCCAAGGCCGGTTTTACTTGCCTCCAAGGGATTCCTGAGGAGTGACTCGTCCGAGAACACGTTTCTTCCGCGAGCGTACGCCCGGAATGCCAGGTACAATGTGCTCGTAAACGAGTCACGGAAAAGCGTTCCGCGGCGACTCGTATAACTGTGATCGTTCTTGCGATCGTTTTCGCGTAGATCGTATGGAGCACGACATTGCGGGTCAACGCAACTGTATATCTATCTACGGGCTATAAAAATGACGTGTCCTCATATACGCGCGGCGTGCATTCTTTGCCGCTTCGAATATCTCTCTCGCGATTGAAAATTCGTTTTTCAATTTTTCAATCCTTCTTCCGGGAGAGCAGGAAGATAACTTGTGATTTCTATGAATATATTACGATGAATCTCGCGACGGAGATTGGATAAATTGGATTATTTTCCTTGTCTTGTCAATTTTTGATGATTGATTAAACGTATCGATGGTTTTCTGGGAAAAAAATTTTTTTGTTAATTTTTGTAAATGCATCGAGTAAGTGTTGTCGTGCCCCCACTGCATGGTTTGGAATAGAAAGCACAGTGAAAGTTTAAAAAATGGTTAAAAAAAAATGAAAAAAAGAGGATATAAGCAGGGCGAGACTGTTTCCACGTGTCCAAACTTGTTAAACTCGTTAGAGCGAATAAAGTTCGAAATTACCTTGATCCCGATAACAGGAGAGAAACCATATTCGTCTTTAATAACGAGTATAGAG